TTGGATACATTCTTATGACTTGTACAACTAGTTAAAATGGTAATTATTTTTTTTGTAAATGTAAGTACTTTTTTGTTATATTTGTTTAATTTTATAGATCTAAATAATTTTTGGTTGAAAAAATATTTAGGGGCTTAATCGTTCAAAATATGAATGTTCATTGGGTTTTTTTTGGGGATTTTTTTCACTATTTTACCACTTTATTTTTTTCAAAAAGTTATTTAACATGTTTTGGATTGTTCAAGGACTTATTTGTTCCAAAAATTGTCCAATGACTTATTTAACATTTTTTGGAATGTCCAATGACTTATTTGTTCCAAAAATTGTCCAATGACTTATTTAACATTTTTTGAAATGTCCAATGACTTATTTGTTCCAAAAATTGTCCAATGACTTATTTAACATATTTTAGAATGTTCAATGACTTATTTAACATGTTTTGGAAAGTCCAAGGACTTATTTGTTCCAAAAAAAAATTCAAGGACTTAATCATTCTAAACAAGAAAGTTCATTGGTTTTTATTGTACTTTTCCCAAATTTATATAAGATTCTAAAATATTAATGGAGGCTTCTCGTTAATCTATGTTATAATGTCTTTATCTATATTATTTTATTAAACAAATTTAACAAAAGTATTAAAATATTAAATGATCAAGATACCCTTATCTATTTTTTCACCTTCTCCTCTCCTCACATACACTCACCATTTTTTTAAGATTATAATTTTAAATTTACATTTTATATCCATATAATTAGTTAATTAATTTACTTTACGTCCTTTACTTTTAAATGTTTCATTTTAAACATTTATCAAATTAACATACATAATCGAATATCAATTAAAACATGTTTAAAAAATACATTTTTATTTTAACAAGTTACACCATTATAATCGTCTCGTTAATACATTCGAAATGAGTTCAATATTGAATAGTTTTTGACTTAATTATATTATTATATATTATATATATTGTGAACAAATATTTTTAATATTTACGATTTGTACTTTTATAGTTATTTATTTTATATATATACTATATATTTTGGGGTTAGGCTGTCTAAATTGCACTGTATAATATATTATTAATTAATATGTTCTTGGGTTTTTTTGAATTATATATATACATGTATTAATTCAACCTTAATCCGAGTTTCTGGACAAGAAATAGGGTAAACAGTTGAAATTTCATTCTAAAACTCATCTTTTTTGGTCTTTTCATGGCTTGTGATCTGTCAAATTTGTAGTTTTCTTTATTGGTTTTGAGTGTTTATCTTAAAACTCAAGTTTCTTGGTTCTTTGCTCTTGGTGTAAATCAAACACATTTGTGGAATCGTTTAAATATGTTGGATTTTAAATATATTGGATTTTAAACTGTCATACAATTTTTTTCATCGATAGTCTGTAATTGGAACCATAACTCTTATTTATTAAAATTGTATTAATATATAAAGACCAAGTGTAACCTATATCATCGTTAAATCTTATCTTATAAAACCAGTGGAACTTCAAAATCGTTAAAATTCATGGCTCCCGTCGCATTACGCGGGTACACAACTAGTGTATATATAATGTATATATTGATGAATCCATATATATATATATATATATATATATATATCAATGTATCGTAGATGAACAAATTAAGAGTTGTACCGCTTTACTTGGTTAAACCGATGTGTATACTTCTCTTTGTCGGTGGGAGTAAATGGTAAGGAAACAATAGAGAAACATAGGTTGAGAGATTGAGAGATCGATAAGAATAAAAACTAACTAAAAACAAAATGGAAAAAATTAAGAGATGAAGAAGAAAAACAAACAAAATGAATAAAATTTAAGTAATGAAGAGAGTAAAATGGTTACATGTTGTGCTTCAGCGATCAAATGCAAACTATATATATATATATATATATATATATA